ATGGGCCCCTGTGACCTTCTCATGGGCGGATGTGGTCTGTCCTCCATGTTCTGTAGGTGTGACGTGGGCCCCTGTGACCTTCTCATGGGCGGATGTGGTCTGTCCTCCATGTTCTATAGGTGTGACTTGGGCCCCTGTGGCCTTCTCATGAGCTGTTGTGGTCTTTCCTTCATTTTTTGTAGTGTTGTATGCTGGCATCATGGCTTCTGTGGCTTTTTCTGATGAAACCGTAGTTTTTTTGTTCATCTCTGAAGTGACTGAGCTATGGGAAGGAATTGTGGCTTCACGTGGAGTGGTACTTTTCTTATCTAAAGTACTGATGGTTGTCTCCACAGGTCTTACAGTTGTAGCTCTGTTTGTTGGATTCCTCTTTGTGGTCCTACAAGTTGTTGTTCTCTTGGGTGCTGAGGTTGGGTGTCTTCCATCAGACAGTCCTTTTGGTGGGTTGGCAGAGTCAGGATTGATATCCCGTCCATTTCGAATAATTGAGTCTTTTCCCTGATTAGTGGTGTTTTGTTCAGAAGTGGAGGGACCTTTGTGATGAACTCCAGAGCTTTCATTGTCTAGAGTTTTGGAGTTGTTTGTAGGCTTGTGAATTGCTTTGGAAGGGTGTGTGGTGTTGCACTTGTRTTTTGGCTTATGGGTTTCTATAGATTTAGGGAAGTCTGGAGGCCTTTGTCCTGTATACGGAGGATTGTGGTTAGAGGGAGTATTATAAGTAAGGCCTGGATTGAGGGGGAATAAATGATCAGATGTTGGCGATTCACCAGTTTTCTGAAGTTCTTGAAATGAAGCACCTGTGGAGGAAGAGAGGCAAATAAGAAATTTCCCATGAGTTCTTCCCTGTCTCCCTTCATTTCTAGGGATTCTTGGTTCCTCGAGATATGTCTCCCATCTAGTCTCCTCAGAATACCATGCTATCAGCCAGTTACAGTGGCACATGCTTGTAATCCCAGTGGCTCAGGAGGCTGAGGCAGTAGGATCATGAGTTCAAAGCTGGCTTCGGCAACATAGCAAGGTCCTAAGCAATTCAGTGAGACCCTGTCTCTAAATAAAATACCCCCCAAAAATGGGATGAGGGGTGCTGGAGATGTGGCTCAGTGGTTAAATACTCCTGGGTTCAACTCCCACTACCACAAAAAAAAAAAAAAAAGAAGAAGAAGAACACTGTGCTATCTAATCCCCATTCTTACCTCTAGCTTCAGACTCTTACTCAGGCTGTGCCTCCAGCAAAAATGTCACCTTACTCCTTTCCCACGTTTGTTTCTAGGCCCTCAATCACACATCCTTCTGGCATCTTTTCTGGTTCCTCTAAGTGGATAAGATCTAGCTTCATTTAGCTTCTCAAAATAGTCCATTACTCTTTCCAGTTACCTTCAAGTTGTTATTACATTTGCTGTATTTTTAAAAATTCATCCTTAGGGGAGGGGAAGGGGGGATAGGAAGGGCAGCAGAATAAAATAGACACTAGTATTGCTGTATGAATATACGTTTCTGTATAACCAATGTGATTCTGCAACCTGTACACTTGGAAAAATGAGAAATTATACCCTATCTGATTCAAATGTATGATATGTCAAGATCATTGTATTATCATGCGCAACTAATAAAAAAAAATATAGTAACTTAGGTAAAGAAGTTAAGAGCTGCCTAAGGGTTAGAATGCATTCACCCATGAAGGCTTTCCTGCCATGAGACAACAAAGGGATATGGGAACAACTAAAATTATGCACCTTTATATAACCCAATAGGACACTGCAAATAAAACTTAGGTGATGTTAGGGAAGACTGTATACACCCCATAATACTCAGACAATGAGGAATTGGGCAAGGGACCTTGAACTCTACAGGTAAGATGCTGGATACATCCAAACTGTGTGTGCCTGCTCTCTCTGAGACACCTTGTCTTGCAAGACACCCAATCTTGCAAGATCATCATCAAAGTGAAACATCACTATTTGCTGTGTCTCTTGTATCTTGATCCATTCTTTGAGTTTGGAGAGGTGAGCATGTTTCTCACATGTACTATTTTTTTAAATAAAGAATCCACTTTTACCAGTCAAAAAATAAATTCATCCTTTTATGATCATTTGTGATTTTGCCATTATTTACAAATTACTCCCATTTTTAAGATTTCTTATATGCATTTCTATTTTTCTACTCTTCTATATTTTGTAGTCTTTAGATTCTTTAAATTAGCTACTAGAAGATCAATCTTTTTATAACTTTTCCTTTTCCTTATTTGAAGCTTCCTAAAATTATCCCTCCAGGATTCACTAAAAAATAATTGCCTCCTTCAGGCATTATCTGAAATACTTCAAACATTAAGACTCTCAAAAGCATAAGAAATCCCATTAATATATTGAATGCTTACAGCCCAGATGAAATAGCAACCATATATGTATACATAATTCAAATGCCAGTTAACAATTTTTTCCATTGGCACTTCATTAAACACATACATCACACACATAATTAAGACAAAAATAAAATAAATTTCTTATTTTAAAAAATTTTCTTCAATCTGAATTTGTCTTGATTATGGTAGTATGTGATATAGTTGAAGAACCTCTATAAAACTGAAAGAAGAGAATGCTTTTATTAATTACAACAGAAAACTGACATGTAATTCTATTAGAATTGAACCTGGGCAAATAATGCTGTTATAAAATTTACATTTCTCACATTCAATGGGGAAATATTATATATTAGGGCTCTTCTTGGTGCTAATAACTAATTTCARCAAAATTTTATTTTAAAAAATAGTAAGTAGCAATTAATATATATTCTTAAACTATGTAAGATAAAGTTAGAAAGGCAACTGGTAACAACCAGTAGAATTAGAATCATTTTGTTGAACATTAAGAACAATATTTCTTTTTTAGCTGTTATATCAGCATACCTTTTTCATTGATAAGGCAAGTGCTGGCTATGGTTGCCACATGATTAGTAATTTTCTTCTTAAGTAACAAATACTTGACTGATCAAGATTCAAGTGAATTTTCTTTCTTAATTTTGCTGTTTGGCAATAGAAACATATACCTTTATCTTTTGTCCCAAGGGAGGCAAATAGGAAATACAGCTTGTAAATTTTCCCACTCACCATTAAACAAGGGCAATGAATTATTAAGAATGTCTCTGAAGTATTTCCAGTATTTACAGTAGTAGGCCTCGGAATAATTTTCAAAACTAATTTCTCATTTTAGTATAGGATTTGATAATCATAACACATTTGATTTGTATTTTCTTCTATCACCTACACTTTGCCCTCAATAAAGGTTGGTGTTATAGTTTCGAACTATTTCTACATCTAGAGCATCTTTACATAAGTTTCATTTTCACTGAACTGAAGACTTTTTTTTTCTCACTATGTGCTCAAGAAAGTTAATGAGCATACACATGCATATACTGGCACACATATATATGTCTATGTAAGTAAATTACTTTACCATTAGAATAAAACCAGACACTGGGGGGACAACCCTGAGGAACAGTTGGTCTTCTGTAGAAATGGTCCTCTGTGCTGAGGGAGGCAGGTATAGTTCACTAAGGGATGTGAGAGGCTGTAGGAAGTTTTATCATCATCTGTCAATCCTGCATTGCCAGCTGTCACCGCTCCAGCTACATGCACACCTGCTTCTCCAGCAACACTGGCTTCTAAAAGTCACATGTCTTAGAAACAAGATGTGGTTGGTTGGACCTCCAATGCTATTTGCAATCTTTCTATAACTTTGACTCTCCACTCTGTCCAATCTTGGTGTCAAAGTGACCATCCAAAAGCTCAATAATATTTCCCCCTGTAGAATGCCCACATGATAGTTTTGGAGCCTCTACAATTTCAGAAGAATAGATGAACACCTTCATTCCAGCTTCCCTCCACTTCCTGACTGCTGGAACTACAACTTCAAAAAACTCTGCTTTCATGCACCCAGCTATAAATGCTGCCCTCCACAGGTGGCCCTGCAGTTGTTTGAGCGCTGTGGTCTTTGGGTCCAAAGACATCTGTCAGCACAAGTTATCTACCCCATTCCCAGAAGCTGCAGATATTGGAACAGCCCCATCCACATGGGCATTTTCTTCAACCTGTTTTCTCAAAAGATTGGCACTCCTCCTCTTCCCAATGGGTCTGAATATACTCTTTAACATTTTCTTTAATGTAAGGAAATAAAATGTTCTTCGATATCTAACAAGATCACAATGACTTTAGCAGGCACCAAAAGCTCGACCATTTTTCCCTTCTAGCTGTTACCATGGAAATCCATCTGCTGCTAGAGAAGTTGGAGGACAGCGCTAGATGTGCCCCCAGGACAGTCTTGGGCTTCCAAGAGCCCCATGACAATCTCAGAGGTGGCAACCCCTGGGGCCTGAAGCATGCAGGAGAGGATACCTCTGCCAACTAGCAAGTGGAGAGGACCATCGCCCAGGGGTCAGAACTCAGGCCCAAATCTACATTTGTTTTTGAACCTGTTAACATCTGCTTCCAACCATGCCTATCAACTTACAAGGYTTTGAGAGCAGGGATTGACTGTCACTTGGCCTCACAGGTGCTCCTTTACAGACTTATGAAATGAAATCCTCTTTCCAAGGAAGGGGAAAGTAGCTCCTTGGGGGTCCTGACAGGAGTGAATGAGGTACCTGTATTCTGGGAGGAACTAACTATGTTTAAGGACAGGGTGTGAAGGAAAACATCCCTATCAATCGGCAGATATGGACTTTAATTCTATGGGAAAACAACCAGATGGGGACAGAGGACACGTCCCTGATATCTGACCAGAAAAGCGAGAACCAGAGATCACCAAAGAACAAGGGAGATCATGCTATTACATAACTGAGATTTCCAGTGTCTGTTAGCTCAAGGCGGTGACCAGAACCTGGAGCTGTTCCCAGCCATAGGAGACCATTTCCACCCACCTCTCTGCGATGAGGAGAATCAGGGGTTGAGGAACTCAGTCTTTGAAAGAATAACAGGTGGGACAAGAAAGGGGCAAGAGATCAGAGAGAAACCCAAGCCCCTAAAGGGAATTAAGGTTGGGAAAAAGGAGAAGGGCTGAATTATCAGGCTGTCACTCCCCTTCGCCAATTGTATTCTCATTCCCTTGGCAAAAAATTTAATAATAGTTATCATGTATTGGGTACCTTCTCTAGGTGCCATAGCTTGGATCTGGAGTCCCCCAAGGGTTTGTGTTTCGAAGGCATGGTCCCCAGCTTGGTGCCCCAATAGGACGTGGTGAAACCTTTAGGGGTGGGGCCTGGTGGAAAGTCTTCCATTCATTGATGGTGTACCCTTGAAGGGGATCGTGGGACCACAGCCTCTTCTTTGTCATTCCTGGTAAATGGTTTTTCTCTACCACATGCTCCCGCCACAATAGGCCGCTACAGGCCCAGAGCGATGAATCTAGTTGGTCTTTACTCAACCCTTCAAAACTGTGAGCCAAAATAAACCTTTCTTCTTCATAAGTTTATTATCTCAATTTTTTTTTTTTTTTACAGTAACAGAAAGCTAACTCACTAGGCCTGGTGCTTGACTGGTTACACCACAGATCTTCTCTTTCGGCATTCTCTTATGTGATGATATATCTTCCAACCCTTACAGGGTTTCTTACATGCTGACAACCTCTCCTGTTTTACATCTGAGAACCAAGAGTTTCATGGAGGACAAGTGACTTATACACAGCCCTCCCAGCAAKAGCAACAGCCAAGGTTTCTTGAGCATTTACTATGAGACATACATGGCCTACTAGCAAGAACAAACAAACACTAAGTTACTTACTTTTCACGAGAATCCTTTCATGTTGAGAACTATTTAGTATTCTCCCAAATTTATACATGAAGAAACAAGGTTCAGAGTGGTTAAATAATCTCTTTAAGAACACCCAGGAAATAAAAAGTGCAGCCAGAATTTGAACACACATTCTGGGCTCCCCAGCATAGTCTCTTACTGGTTACAACCACAGTGCACAACTTAGACATCAGTACAAGCTGTCTCTAACATTTTTAGAACCCCTGAAGTATAGAATCCACATATTTGTTTATTTAATCTTTCCCACAAACCCATAAAGTAAGAGTTATAATCTTACAATTTTACAGGGAGGGAAAAGCAATTCAAATAGGTGAGGAAATTGGTAAAGACTGATTTTCTACTATACCCCAGATGCTTTTTAACATTATAAGGAATGAATATCTGTAGAATGCATACAAGAAAGAGCAGGTAGCAATGCAGAGTGACAAATTTCACTGGCCTTAAAGAATTGGAGGACAGGGTTGGAGTCCAGGCTGTGTCCTCATCAGCTTTGCATCCTTGATCAAGTCACTTACATGCTCTGAAGTCTCATGTCCTCAACTATAAATAACAATGATGCTGACTGCACCAGCTTAACATGAGAGCCAAAGGAAGCATGGAGCATAGCAGTCTCTTTAATTATGTATTGAATTTGAGTTGTTGTCTGTAAGTCTGAGCCTGTGGCCCTGCACACCTGCCTGCAGCAGCCCAAGTTTCTCCTCTGACCCACCTGTTCCAAATACTTCGAAGGCCAACCCGGACCACCCTCTCCACAATGGCAGTGGCCTGCATTCCTGAGCCACTTCTCCTGCTGCATTTTAGCAACCTGGCACTTGTCCCTCTCCAGTACACAATAAATGCAGTTTAATTCCCACTGTGGCAGGGATTTTGATTTGTTTTGTTTATCACTATAGCTGAGTGGGTATTGACTAGTCCTGAAGATAAATGCTAGGGGGGACCCCAGAACTTTGTGGCAAGGGCTTCACCCATCCCAGGAGTCTCCCCCTCACGCCACATCCAGTATGGCTGCCAGACACAGCCATGGCCTTGAGACCTACTTGATCCCTATGCCACCCTGATACCAGTCTCAAACCCTCCCCATATCACCCATTGCTCTACATTCTAAGACCCCATCTCCTGCTTCCTTCCGTCTTCACTCTCCATCCCTCCCAGACAAGCTGTAGCAGGCACCTCCCAGGCTGCACCCACAGAACCCAGAGGCTCAGTTGCTGCTCCTCTGACCTGCGCCCTGCCTCCTGCCCTAGAGCAAATTTTCCTGCCAGGGCTGTGTGTCATTGATTCATGACTCAATSCCCTGTGCCCTATACAGGTTCCTCTTTTTCTCTGAGCTGCAGAAGACAAAAGGTATAGAGAGCAACTGTCTCAGAATGGGAAGACAGGTAAACAGGATGGGGACACAGAAGCTGAGGGCAGCTCTGGTGCTTCCTAGACCCTTCAAGTAAAGGGGACAGGCATGAAGTCAAGGCATGGATAGAGTGCACTGTGGAACCTGTCAGAGGCAGCCCCTGCCCTCTCTGGCCCTAACAGGACACTGAGCTCAGGGAAGGAGCATTCTCTAATATCATCCCCAGTCAAACAGTATTAGAGGAAGACACTGCCTGCTGTGCCCCAGAACCTGCCTGAAGCATCTCAGACTCCACATCCTCAGCCCTGGTTTGGGGTCTCACTGCCTCCACCTTTGCTGACTCTATCCCAGATGTAGATACTCTCTATGAATTGACATATTGTCACACGTCTACCTCATAAAGTCCCTCCTCCTAATCACCCAAGGCCCTCCAAATCACACCTGGGTTTGGCATCTCTGCTCCCTGGTCCAGATCCAGAACTGTTTCTTAATTAAGGCAAGTGAAACAATTTAGCAATTTCATCTTATTCCATAGGATCTGTTTTGCTCATTAAATATTTTTCCATGCTCATTTTCTCATCAAAGCCTTGGGATGCTTCCCAGCTGTAAGATAGGGACAGAACCTTGTTGAGTTGCAGTGAGAATTAAATAAGTAAATACGGATGAAGTGCCTAGAACAATACCTGGTGTGGAGCAAATGCTGAATAGGCACCAGCTCAGGGTATTGACCAGCAGTGTCCTTCCCATTTTACAGATGGAGTAGAGGTCCAGATGAGCTAAGTGACCCAGAGTCAGGACAAGAACCTAAGTCTGCACATAACAGCATTCTCAGGAGAGAAATTCACCCCACCTCCCACCCCATGCAGCTGGCAGTGTGGAGTGGTAGAGTTCCTGTTTGCCCCTCTCTAGTCCTGTGACCTTGGGCAAGCCCTTTAGATCTCATTCTCCTCAATTAGAAGCTAGAATGTTAGTAAATCCTCTCCTCATGTTGAGAAGGTGAAGTGAGATGAAGTATCATGAGCACCTGTGAGTTGCTTGTGTGAAACAGGTACTCAATGAATGTCAGGTCCCTCTGGGTACTGTGACACATGCCTATAATTCCAGCTACTCAGGAGACTGAAGCAAGAGGATCACAAGTTTCAGGCCAGCTTCTGCAACTTGGTGAGACCCTGTCCCAAAATTAAAAAGGACTGGGAATGTAGCTCAGTGGTAAAGTACCCCTGGGTTCAATTCCCAGTACAAAGAAAAGTGGGTCCACACTCCTGCCCCCTTTGGGTAGGTGCAGCTCTGTAGGCCAGGTCTTAAAGAGCAGGCTGGATTTCATTTCCTACACCCCTTAACTGGCAAACTTGAGCAGTGAATGCCCCAGACAACTGTACACAGCAACCCATCCCCCACATCCCTCATTCATTTATATGCTTATTCATCCAACCTTATGAATCAAGAGACAATCCCTCTCTGAGTTCCATCCCACTGTGTAACTGTGACTCCTTTTAACCCTGCAGGTATCTTACCTGCCTCCCAAGGAGTTAGAAGAAAGAGAAGGCAGCACTGGAAGCCAAAAGTGAAATGGAGGCCACCGGCTGGCTGGGCCATGTTAGAGCTGGGCACAGTTTGGGGACCATGGCTGCAAACCTGTTATATGAAGCCAAGTCTGACGTCATGGGGGCTGGGGCCCCTCAGGACTAAGCCTTAAACAAATGGAGCTACCGCACCCCACAGAGGTGGCCTGATAACAGGAGACCGCAGCAGTTGCGTCATAGAGCCAGGTACCAGGGTACTGTGGAATGGGTGGGATCCCAGGGCAGGCAAAAGGACCCAAGAGGGGCAGACTCCTGACCCAACCCCAACAGAGGGGAGGGGCTATGGGTGAAGGTGAACCCCACCTGAAGAGGCAGGGAGCAGATGGCTGAGTTCTAGAAGAGCTGAGTTCTAGCTGGGGACAGGATGGTTGGGGCTCTGGGAGGAGGTTCATGTTCCAATCTGTCCCCAGCTTTACACTCACCCTCCTACATCTCTCACGTCAGTAAGCTCCACACCCCTTGCTCACACATGGTCACTCTGTTCTGGGTGGAGCTGTCTCCAAGGACCAGGTGAAAGAGCAAAAGGGAGAGAGCACTCACATGGTCCACATGGTGATTCGAGATGTCCAAGGCAATACAACAAGCTGTGGGGTCAGTGGAGAAGTGACAAGGACAAGATAGACATGGAGTCCAGGGACCCACATCACACAGCTCTCCAGGGATGCATACAGCTCAGGCCACCCAGAGTGACAGAAGCTGAACTCTTTGACAGGAATGTTCAGCCTATGGGGGCTTCTGCCTTTGCTCCACCCCTTCCCCTCTCTACCACCCCAGCCCAACAGCCTCCTCTTTGCTTCAAAGCCTCCATCTATCCTGATCAGAAATGCAGACCTAGCCAGGCATCGTGGTGCATGCCTGTAATCTCAGCAGCTCTGGAGGCTGAGGCAGGAGGATTGCAAGTTCAAAACCAGCCTCAGTAACTTAGTGAGGCCCTAAGCAACTCAGTGAGACCCTGTCTCCAAATGAAATATAAAAGAGTGGGGTGTGGCTCAGTGATTAAGGTCTCCTGGGTTCAATTTCTGATTAAACACACACACACACACACACACACACACACACACACACCACACAGAAATGAAGAACTCTCATTTCTAGGAGTTCCCAGGAGTTCCTCTTCCCTCTTATTCTCTGCCTAAAATAAGCATTAGCTCACAGATAGTCACTTGTCTCCCCAATGATAGTGCCCGGGGCTGGACAGGAGCCACCACCTCTTCTATTGCTTGTTGTGGGTCTCTGCTGAGGGGAGATAAGTACCCTGTGGGCATCGTCCATGCCTCCATCAGTGCCGTATCCCCAGCACCTGGGACAGCGCCTGGCACACAGGAGGCCGTCAGTCAATACATGCGACTCCTGGGTGGAGTGGGAGCCGGGCTGGCTGCCTTTCTGAGGGAAGTGGAGCAGGCAGAGGGAGTGAAAAGGGCTAGGACCTGGAGGGCAGGAGGCCAGGCCTCAGGCAGCAGGGCTCCCGAGAGGACTGAGGGCTAATCACGTGGACTCCTCACATTCCCTGGCATGACTGGTCCCTCAGCCCCAGGCAGGACTGGAATGGGTGGGCAGAGGAAAGGTCAGCTGCTCACAATCAATTAATGGGAGATTAATGAGGCTCTGTGGAGTCAGGCCAAAGAATGACTGCTCAGAACTGGGCAGCCTGCCTCTCAGGAAATGCATCTCACAAGCTGAGATTGAGGCAGAGGCAGGACTCCCCTGGCAACTCCATCTGGACTTGGGGGTGATTGGCAACCCTCTGTCTGCTAGGCCTCTCACCCCACCATTTCTCCAGGGACCCCCAACCTCTAATACAGTGGTTCTCTATAAGGAACAATTTGCCTTCCAAAGGACATCTGGCAGTTTCTGGAGATATTCATGTCACAATTTGGAGAGGGCCCTACTGGCATCTAGTGGGTAGAGGTCAGAGAGGCTGCTAAACATCCTATAATGCTCACAACAGCCCCTCAACAAATAAAGATCCATCTCAACACATCAATAATGCAGAGGTTGAGGATTCCTCCTTCAGAATAAATTTTAATCAGCATTTATAAGTAAACACTCCCTCCCTTCTTTCTTAGCCACAACTCCACCCAGAGGACCTAGGCACCTGGAGAGGAGGAACCTAGAAGCAGATGGAGACCCTGGATGATCTCTTAAAGTCAGTGTCTAAGCTGGAGGCTGAGGGACCAGTCACTAAACAGACTGCCGATGGCGTGGCAGTTCTGTTGATAGAAGCACCTCACCTATGAATTACAGCCATGAGGTTGGCAATGTCATCCTCATTTTCTCAGGACAAACAAATCTTGGATCAAGGAGTGTCTTGCCCAAGATCCCATACATAGTGAGTGGCAGAGACCAGACTTGGCCTGTTCCTAGGGACCACAAAGCCCATGCTGGGAGACCCGTAGAGGGAGTGCCATTTTATTTAGTAAGGATTGTGGCCACCACCCTCCCAGAATGGCCCAAGGGAGCACCACAAGGCAAGGTTCCTCATGGGTCCTGAGGGGAGAGAAACAGGGGGTGCAAGGGGGTCAGGATCCAACCTGAGGGAGCTCCCTAAGAAAGGAAGGGTGAAAGGGAACCTCCCCCCCACCTGCTCCTGTGTCCCCAATGACTGGATCAAATTGTCCTCAGATAAGGACCTTGTCTGATACCTGGTGAGAGGGGTGGGGATGGGAAGAAAGGGTGAATGGTGAAGTTTCCAGCTGCCCTGACCCAGACTCCATGAGGGCTGGAAGCTTTCTGACCCTTCCAGCCCTGGCCCTTCCTTCTACAGATGAGAAAACTGCCACTGTGGGTGCCTTTCCCCAGTCCATGGGGATGGCAGCAGGGAGCAGGGGGAATCAGAAATGGAATCCCAGCTCCCAGTGGTGACTGACTGCAGACCTCCCTGGGCCTCCTTGGCACTGTTGGTGGAAGAGACCTRGGACCCAGTGACCTAGGAACCCACCTGCAATAAATGGCCCCAGAGAGGGTAGATGGGACARGGGCTCCTGGGAGAGGATGAAGATTGCAAATCAGCCAATGGGGTAGGGGTTTTCAGCTATCCTGGCGCATCCCTTCATTTGATGAACTAGAGATGGCTCATGGTCATATCTATAGAAGGTCACAGAGCCATCACCACTCCCCAAATTCAGCTCCCTGTGGAACTGGAAAGCCTGTGAGATGAGAGATGAATAGGATGACTTAAAAATCTTGGGTCTGCATTACCTAGAATTATTTAGCACCTCCAGGGACTGATCAGCCATTGGCACTGCCCAGCCTCTTTCAGTGGCCCCGAATCCCTACCCCTGCCAGGCCAGTGCTTCCTCCCAGCCCCTCGGGTCAGGTTCCTTGTCCCCTCCACACTTCTAAGCTATCATCCTCCTCCCTGAACCCCTGTTCTTCTCAGAGTCCTAACCACCAGGTTCCAGTCCCACTGGACTTGGGGGCAAAGTTGGGCCACACTCATCCTTGATTCCATACATTAGGTTGGCAACTGCTGTCACTAGAAAGAGTTATCAGCATGATGTCCCCAGTCGATGACAGAGCCCTTCTCCTGAGCCTTCATGCCTGAGGAACAAAGATAGGGACAGTGATCAAGGCAAGAGGGTCCTCTAGTTCCCACATCTCTACTGCCCCCCTGACTTTACCCCTTTCTTTCCATGTCTCCGAAAAGACATCATTCCCTCTGCCATTCTCTCCTATCATTTTGGCATGAGAACTGCAATGCCGTGGGGGTTAAAGGACTTAAGTACAAGCCCCCGTCACCTCTTCCTCAACATCTGGAAACATGTCTACTCGTCCCCAGACTTTTTTGGGGGGGTACTACAGATTAAACCCAGGGGCACTTAACCACTGATTCTATTTTATTTGGAGATAGGGTCTCCATGAGTTGCTTAGGGCCTCACTGCTCAGGCTTACTTTGAACTTGCAATCCTCCCTGTCTCAGCCTCCTGAGCTGCTGGGATTACAGGCATGTGCCACCTTGCCTGGCTAGACAATCCCCAGACTTCTTGCTGATATCTGCCTCTCTCCTCTTTCTGAACCCTCCTCCTTATCTCAGGCTCTGCTTCTGTCTCTCTCAAGCTTGTGCCTTCTCTGCACTGAGAGTCCCCAGGTGGGCAGTCTCCTTCTCTGAGCCCCAGCCTTCCTTTTTCCTCTCTCGATTCTGGTCCCTCAGGGATACCACAGCCTGTTGTCCCATCTTCCCTCCATTTATTTCCTGTCCTCAGATTACTTGGGTGATAGACTCCTCAAGCTCACCAGGAATGAACAGAAGGAAAAGAGGAAGACAGGGGGCAGAAGGAGAGCAAGATCTCTGGAAGGGTGCCTCCTGCCCTGGGCAGACAGATTGGGCCATGAAGAAGAAAGACCAGCCGGAAGCAGTGGTGCATGCCTGAAATCCTAGCAGCTTGGGAGGCTGAGACAGGAGGATTGCAAGTTCAAAACCAGCCTCAGCAACTGAGCAAGGGCCTGAGCAACTTAGTGAGATCCTGTCCCAAAATAAAATATTAAAAGGGCCAGGGATGTGGCTCAGTGATTAAGCACCCCCGAATTCAATCCCCAGTACCAACAAAAAAGAAAGATAGAAACCTTTCAGGTACCAGACATCTGCTCTTAATCTGACCCATGTTGGAGGAAAACTGTGATCCCTATAAGATAACAGGTATTATTTGTCTGAGGAGACAAACTCAAAATASAGTGGAAGGGAGGTGCTAATGGCTATTCTCATTGTTAGAAATACCAAGGTGCTGCAAGAAATCAAACATGTGCTGGAAGGTGGGCGGGCAAGGTGTTTACTTCTGACAGAAGGAGGGGCTACAGAACCTGGCTAGCAAGTGCATCTGGATGGGAAGTCCACCGGTTTATATCCCTAACCTAATACAGTGCTGCCCTTCACTCTGATTGGAGGCATTCAGGGTTTCAATTAGCAATTGGTTGATTTTAAAATTGGATTGGGCAAAGGGAAAGGCTATAATTGAAATGGCCACAACTGGATCCAATTAAGATACTATATTCTGAAAATGGATTGTGGACTTTCTATTTCTCATACCATAGTCCTCTCCAGAATCCAGAGGGTGGCTGCAGGGGAATAAGAGAGAATGGGCCTGATGATTATGTACAACTATAATGATCCAATTTAAAAAAATAGGGAGAGTGGGGGAGAGAATGGTCCTAACATTTTACTGGAAGAAACAATCACCTAATACCGGCACATTATGACATTTTGGTTAATGACAAACCACATATATGAAGGTGATCTCATAAGATTATGATAGAGATGAAAAATTCCTACCACCTAGTGTTGTAAGCATTGTAAGGTAGCACAATGTATTTGACGTGTGTGTAGTGATGATGGCATAAACTACTGTCACACCACCACTTATAAAAGCATAGCAGGAGTCAGGCACTGTGGCACACACCTATAATTCCAGCTGTTAGAGAGGCTGAGGCAAGGACCACTTAAGTCTAGGAGTTCAAAGCCAGCCTGAGAAACACAGCAAGACCCTGTCTCAAAAAAAAAAAAAAAAGTACAGCACATACAATTATGGTTAGTGCATAAGACTTGATAATGATTAGCAACAACTGTACTACTGGTTTATGCATTTACTATATTTTTATCATCATTTTAGCATGTACTTCTACTTTATTGTAAAATGGTCTGCTTTGTTTTGCTGGCAACAGACATGTACATCTCCAATTTACTGCATTTTTTTTGAACCACTGAGCTACATCCCCAATCCTAACACATTTCTTGATTGCACCAGGAGGCCACCTCAAGTGATTGACCCATACTATTTAGGCTTGCATAAGTACACTCTATAAAGCTTACACAATGATAAGATTGCYTGAGGACCCATTTCTCAGACTTATCCCTGTTATTAAGCAACAAGCAGATGTGAGAGTGCCTCACTGGTCCGGACGCTGAGAGCGGCAGATGGGGTGGCCACTCCAGCCACTGTGGAAGTGTAAGCTTCTGAGATGACCACACTTGACGCAGAAGTCCCTGGCATGATTGGGGCAGTTCCACGGTCTGTAGGGAGGAGACAGATCCTAGGTGGGCAGAGGGAAAGAAATGATTAGAAGAGATCCAATCTAGAGCAAAGCAGAAATCATCTCTAGTGCATTCTCTCTCAAGATCCTAGTGAGCTTTGGGTAGTAATTGAACTGATTTTAGCCAGGCATGATAGCGCATGCCTGTAATCCCAGAAACTCCGGAGGCCCAAGAATTTAGCAAGATGCTGTCTCAAAATAAAAAGAACTGGTTAAGTGCCCCTGGGTTCCATCCCTARTACCAAAAAGGGAAAAAAGAAAAGAAATTGAACTGATTCTATAAAAATCTAAGGACTGAAAATAGCCAAGATGATTTTAAAGAAAAACAGAAGTGGAGGGCCTACATTCTCAGATCTCAGGGTTTGCCACAAAGCAGTCACTAAACACTGTGGCACTGGAGTAAGAATGACCAGATAGAGGCCAGCACAGAGCCCAGAAATAGAAGCATACAGATCTGGTCACTTGACTTAATTGAAGTACTCTTGCAACTTGAGGAGAGGAGAGGGGAGAGTCTAAAATAAATAGTTCTGGGTGCCTGGATAACCAAAAGGGAAAATTCATGAATCTTGCTTTTTCTCTACTTCACTTCATACACAGCAATTAATTTGGGATGGATGGTAGACTTAAATTTGAGAATTAAAATGATTTAAGTTTCAGACTGAGGCTTAGTGGCCGAGCACTTGCCTGGCATGTGTGAGGCATTGGGTTCGATTCTCAGCATCACATATCAATAAATAAAATAAAGGTCCACTGACAACTAAAAAGTTATTTTAAAAAAAATGGTCAAGTTTCTGGAAGAATGCATACGTCAGTGTTTTCATGACAGGGGATGCTGGGGGGCAACTTAGGCAAGTACGACATTCACCAACATAAGAAAAAGTTGATGAATGGAAAAACAGAAAGATGGGCCTTTGTTGGTTTTGTTTGTAGTTTGTTTTGGTTTGAGTTTGGGGGGTTGTTTGTTTGTTTGTTTGCTTTTTTTTTTTTTGTACTAGGGATTGTACCCAGGGGTTCTTTTCCACCAGTTTCATCCCTAGTCCTTTTATTTTTTATTTTTAGACAGGGTTTCACAAAGTTGCTGAGGAAGAGAGGCTTCTGTAGAGCCACAAGAAGCCCTGGAAAACTGCTGGGCTCCACTTAGAGCACAAGAATCCCCACTCTGAGCCACCAGTTGAGCCTAAGTTCTCTAAATGGATGAGCTCTTCATGTACTAGCAACCTACCCCCCACCCCAGCCAGAGTTGGTCCTCAGCTCAGCCCTCCTCAAAACAGGCAGTCCCAATTATACTATCCTAAGGTTCTCTTCTCACTCCTAAAAATACAACTACTGAGGGTCAGAACATAGGGGTCCCTCAGGAAAGCAGGATTTGGGAATTGATGCTGCAAGGAGAGATGGTCAGGCCTGGGGACTGTGCACCTGACCTTCAGGAGACCCCAGGGTGGAGTGGGAGACTGGATACCTGAGGTATCTTGTTATTGCACTGGGTGGGTGGGACCAGGTAGGTTTTACCACTCACCTTGCTCCACAAATACTTGCAGTCAAATTGGCAAGAAAATAGTTTTATTCAAAGCCAGATCTAAAGAAAGATAGAGGAAACTTTTATGTTTCAAATCACCATCTTCAGAAAACTTAAGAGCCAGGATGGGGCTGGGGATGTGGCTCAAGCGGTAGCGCGCTCGCCTGGCATGCGTGCGGCCCGGGTTCGATCAAAAAAAAAAAAAAAGAAAACTTAAGAGCCAGGAAAGCTTTTATAAGCAGAGGCAGCAAAGTAGAACAAACAGCAGGAAATAGACATATGTAGATTAGCTAGACAGTGTGACCTAAGAGTAAGTCGGTGGGGCGCACGGTAGTTTATATTCTCAGTGTAAAGAATTTTAAAAATTAAAACAATTTGGAGCTTTAATTCTCCRTATGAGAGATTTTGAGTCTGTTTCAATCTCTCACCTAGTCAGCTGCAGCCTGCAAAGTTTCCTGTCCCCTTGGCAGAGAAGGGGCAAAGGAAGAAGAGGCACACCAGGGAAGGCACTTGTCATGTTCAGGCACAATGTACACATCCCTGAATTCCAGAAGTTCAGCTTTGGGGCTGAGTCTGCGGTGCGGGCATTTACCACTGCTGAGCTGTGGATCCTCAGGCATCCTATCTATGTCTTAGATTCTCCACCTATAAACAGGGGTGATCTGGGACTCACTACAAAGGGTCATTATAGAGTTGAGGATATAGCTTAGTGGTAGAGCACTTGTCTAGCAAGCACACGACCCTTTCCCAGCACCACAAAATAAGTCAAAGGGTCCTTATAACTGTTAAAGGAAATAGTGTTTGTAATAAGCCTAGCACACAGTCATTTTGTCTATGGTTATGTAGAAAGAGGGGAACACCGGCTGGGAAAGAAACAGGGTGCTTCTCTCTCAGGAAGGTCCAGACACCCTAGTGCATCTGTGTCCACCCTTCTTCCCCTCCTGTGTCTGCTGCTCTTTTTGCCTGTTTTCCTTCCCACTGGGTCTTCCTGCTTCCTCAAGGAAGCATGTGAGTCCCTGGAGGTCTCACTGCAGGTTTACTCCAACTCCCTGGTCTTGCTTTGCTTTTGGCTTCTCTCCCTGACTCTTCCCAGTGGTCCCTCTGCCTCTACCCCTCAGCACTCAGTCCCACTGTTTTTGGAGGAGCAAAGGGTGACACAGGGAAGAGACAGAAGATGCAGAACCTGTGCCCCTGTGTGATCAAGTGGGTTTAGATGTCACTTGAGTGTCAGTCTGTTGAGCATGTTCCTGTGTGTCTAGCATCATGAGGGACTAATCCCTCTGCTACTGACCTGCTAGGTGACTTTGGCAAGTCATTAACCCTCTCTGGGCAGTTAGTTTCCTAGTTTTTAAAGAAGGGCAGTAAAATAGATAGGCCCCCAGCTCCCTCTGTGCTTGCCCTTCTGCCTGCGTGCCTGTGCCCCTGGGTCTTGGTTGGAGTATGTAGTATGCCCCAGAAATGGGGGAGGATAGTGGATGAAATGTGTCTCCACCTGAGTATCTAGGATGCGTTAGAGCAACTAACTCAAAACATTCAAAGATGAAAGTTTACACATTACCCCATTATCCTCACCTAGAAAGCAGGATACCTGGGCTTAGGAAGAAGCCAGGTTTAATCCACCCCTCCCTTTGGGGCCCACATTCCTGAGCCCTTTGGTGGCAGGAATGATGACAATTAACAGTAGTTAATAATTAATCCCTAATGAGAGGCTGGACCTGGGTGGGATCCAGACACCTGCAGGCAGGACACCTCCCTAGTTCCCTGCTTCCCTCTCCATTTCCCTCTTCCTGCCCCCCAAGCTTGAAGACATGGAGAAGGGGTGGGACACAAGCTGCACTGCACACAAACAGATTGCACCACTGGATCTCCAAGGGGACCACTCTACTTTCCCCAAGAGCCCAGTGAATGGCCCTCTCCAGGGTCCTCAAAACCTTACAGAGAGAACTGGAAAATCCAGTTGCCCAGACCCCCACACCCTTTCTGCCAAACACAGGTGCTAAGGACTGAGGGTAAGGAGAGGCCACCTGGGACTTCAGATATCTCTTCCTTACAATAGAGTTGTAAGGTGGCTACGATGAGATCTGCGCTGCCCTTCTTCCTCCTCCTGGCCCTTCTTGGCAGCTCATATGGAGCAGGTGAGTGCTAGACGGTGAACACCTGGGTCCTCAGGGCAAGGAGAATCAGAAGAAGGTGAGGGGGACTTCTTGGCCTCTGGAAAAAAAAAATGGAGGCATMTCAGTGCTGAGCTTCTGAAAAAACAGAATGAAACCCTGCCCCAAGAGGGAAAGTGTATCACAGGAGGGTGCCTGCCTCCTTAAAAGTTCACTGCTCTGACTTCTGCGTCCTTTTGGATCCCCAGGGCCAAGCGTGACTTTGCAAATGAAGCTGAAGGCATCTTTTCTGGCAAATGTCTCCCATGACTCCAGCTTCCCGGAATTGCTCAAGAGGGTAGAATCTGGGGAGGGGAAAGTATGGGGTTTGGGTATCTCTGCAGGGGTCTGGCTGTCTCAAGGGTGAGAGTAAGGAGCCATCCTAAACCTCATCCTCTATCCCTTTCTGTTCCCCAGCTCTGCCTTCTTCTCCACCTCCCATCAGAGACCAACGTCACCCTCCATCATGAAGGAACCCCGCACAACTTCACCTGCAAAGCCTGAAAATAACTGAAGCCTGTGTTGGCTAAGGGAATCAGTCCCCTGGGGTGCAAGGTCATATCCTGACCCTGTCTTCCAACAGATTCTTGTCCTGTTGTGTGCCAATAAAATGCTATATCCAATGTCTTGACTTGACAAATCCATGAACAAAGGGCGGCAGAAAGTGGGTGTTGGATGCCCAAGTCTCTGACCCTCCCCACTCCTGAGCAGAGTGTTCCAGGATGAACTCTCAACACCACAAAGGTCTAGAAGGAATCTGAGGAATTAATTAACTATTAGGCATGGGCACATGCACGCATACACACACACACACACACACACACACACACACACACACACACATTTCCAGCAGAAGTCTTCAGAACACCTGGGAATAAAGGAAAGTAACAGTTATCAAATTATTTATTCCAATTGTTTATTCCAGGCCTCATGCTTTCCCATCTTAATGCCTGTGACAGTCTCAAATGTAGCCTAATAGGTATCATATCCTATTTCACAAATGAGCAAAAAGAAGCTCAGAAAAGACAAATCACTTGCCCAAAGTTTAATAGTAATGGAGAGTTCAAGCATCAGCCAGATATCTTGGTTTAAGCAAAATTTAAATTTCATCTCCCTTGGCTTAAGCTTTTAGGGCCCAGGAATATCAGACAGGTATGTGGACAGAACACCCCCCAGGACATGGTCCCCTGGCCCAGGGATCCACACAAGCCAATCAGGGTGAGGACAGGGTGGGAGGCAGCTAAGAGAGGGGCAGGGGCTTCAGCTCCAAGAGGTTGGCCGGCCTGGCCCAAGTTGTGGGACCCTTGTTAGGTGAGCTTGTGCCAGATAATCACATGAATCTGTAGTCACACAGGACTCCCTGARTCCTAAAAGGTTTTTATTTTCTGTGAGCCTCCAATTCTTTACCCATAAAATGGGGACAACAACAGTGCCTGTGCCATAGGACTGTTGTGAGGATTACATGGATAAGCTCCCTGGGGACATAACAGAGCATATCACACAACCATGCCCATGTGGGTATAGTCAGGAAGTACTGGTTTTATGGTAGAAATACCTAGTCACTTCAAGAGTTCAGGTACCTTTACATTCTATTTTCTTGATACAGGCATTCACATAACTCCTCTCAAAATGATTTGGGTTTTGCCTAGAGCAATGTTACACACCGGTAATCTCAGCTACTCAGGAGGCTGAGGCAGGAAGATCTCATGTTGAAGGCCAGTCTCAGCAATTTAGCAAGACCATCTCTCAAAACAAAAAATAAAAAGGGCTGGGGATGTAGCTCACTGGTCGCTCAACTGGGTTTCTTACCACTTCTCAAGACACAAGTTTGAAGCCCAAAACTGACCCCTTATGGGTGTTATGATTGCTTCCTCTCTTCCCCAGTACTTGCCTCTGCCCACCATCTCCACCAAGTCACCATCACCACCATATGAGAGGAGAGTCTGGCTTCCCTAGAAGGTGGTGGGGAAGACAAGAGTTGAATAGTGAACATACCTGAATGTGATGAAGCATAGAAATGGAAAACAAAAACAAGTTCCTCTACTATCCTTTTTAACTGTCCTGAGACAGCCCTGAGAAGAGGTAGCCAGGGGGTCCCAAAGGAAACCAGTGTTTCATGACTTGCCCCTAGTCTGAACTAGTGAGCAGGTGACCCCCATGGTCCAGATGTGCACATCCCCAGGCAAGTTTGGGGACTGGATATCTGAATCCCTCTCTTGGAGAAACAGATAGCAAACTATTCCCCAACCAGGTTCCTAGATCTCAGGGCCTGGAATCACCAGGGCATGGTTTCCAGATTCTTTTCTTCAAGAATTATCTTCCTAGATTGGAAACAGAGCAGTTCAATGAAGAGAATGCTTTGGATTTCACTGGAACTGGGGGTGACAGAGATGGCTAGCCATCCCCCTAATAGTCATTCTCATTTTGGACATTCACATACATCTTAGTTCGGGCACATAGCTCATTATGTTACATTTCCCAGCCTCCCTTGCCAATAGGTATGGCCATGTGGTTAGGTTTGTCCAACAGGATGCAAATAGAAAGGAAGTGTGTAATAAGTTGAAAGAAAAGGGCTTCCACTTCAGAGAGAAAAAAACTCAGGTTTTAAAACTGCCTACAATACAATGTTTTTTCCAACAGAACTTTTTTTTTTTTTTTTTTTGGAGGAGGGCGTACCAGGAATTGAACTCAGGGGCACTCAACCACTGAGCCACATCCCCAGCCCTATTTTGTATTTTATTTAGAGACAGGGTCTCACTTGAGTTGCTTAGTAACTCACGATTGCCGAGGYTAGCTTTGAACTTGTGATCCTCCTGCATCAGCCTCCTGAGCCACTGGGATTACAGGCATGCACCACCACACTCGTCTCTAAAGAACTTTCTGTGGTGATGGAAATGTTTTATAACTATGCTGAYCATGTAGTAGCCACTGGCCATCTATGGATATTAAACAACTGAAATGTGACTAGTGTGACTAAGGAACTGAATGTCTCATTTTATTTCATTTCAATTGTATTAAATAGTCAACCATTTTGGACATTACAGCCTTGAAAGATCCTGAGCCTTCCCTATTCCTCACTGCCTCCCTCAGCTGCTGACTTCACCTCCCTGAGCCTCCCTGAGCTGGCTGTGCCCCACACACTGGCCTCCTTGCTACTCTGAGCACCCCGGGCATGTCCACACAAGCTCTGGCTTTTCACATCATCTAGAACATTTTACCTGAGACATTCACTTGGCTAATTCCCACACCTGCCACAAGTCTTTGCTCAAACTTCACTTTCATAAGATCAACCCTGCTCTCCTATTTAATATTACAGAGTTGCCTCCTACACAACACATTCAAGTCCCCTTACCCTATTCTACCCTTTCTTCCCCTATTAGCATTATAACTTTCAAAAAATGCTTTATCATTTACTTATTGACCCATGTTACTTATTTCTGATAGGTACCAGCACATAGTAGGCATCAAGAAAAACTTGTCAAACCTGAGGAAAAGAAATAGGGGACTGCTCACCCCTTCTTTYTCTCTTTCCTCCAGGGAGGGACACAGACATGGTGGCAGGAGCTGGAGCAGATCTTGGACACAGTTAGAAAGCATATCAGAATGGTAGGAAAATAGGATTAAAATGGACATGGACTCCCATTATTGCAAAACTCTCCTCTACTTATGCCCAGAAAGAGAAACATCCATCTTATCTAAATCCCCATAGGAGGTTTGATTCCAGCATCCAGAAAGGACCTGCAAGTTATAAGGTTAAATAAATTGGGTTAAATCCCCATTGATACCTTGGATAAGTTACTTTCAGTCTGAGCACGTTTCTTTATCTCCAGAATGAAGCTAACGCCCACTTCATGAGGTGTTTGGTAGGATTAAATGGTATTATACCTGGAGCACCATGGAGGACCCAGCCCATGATCAACTTGCCACAAATAGCAACTTAGAGCTGCTGAATAGAATGGAATTTGGGTGCAGAAGGGCTAGTACTTCTAATTCCGCTGATATGAGACAAGGGTGTTTGGGGTGGGTAGGGTGGCTAGTTGTGTATCTGCACATAACTCAGTCAGGGTTTGAGCACTGTGACTGTGGTGCTCAGGTCTCAGTTGCACAAAAGGCACATAACTCCCAATGCACCCTATAGCCCTGCAGGCTGAAGGAAGTCCTGCAGCAGCCAGGACACTGCCAAGGGTTGGGCCATGGTCATTGAGCCTGTGYCCTGCCCCACCACTGGAAAGCTTCCCTCAGCAAGACAGGTGCCACCCAGCACCCATACTCCCATGCAGTCAAAAGACCCAAACTAACAGGTAGCCTTCGTCTCCAGACCAGGCTATCAGGGAATAATGGACAGGCAAGAAAGTCACCATTAAGGGAAAGGGAAAAAAGGACCACAGGCAAATGTGTTTGGGATTTTATTTTATTTATTTATTTGTTTGTTTGTTTGTTTCAKTACTAGGGACTGAACCCAGGGGCACTCCATCACTGAGCTATATCTATAGCTCCTATTATTATTATTTTTTATTTTGTGACAGGCTCTTACTAAGATGCCCAGGCTGGCCATGAACTTGCAATCCTCCTACCTCAGCCTCCCCAGTAACTGGGATTACAGGTATGTGCCACTGCTATCTGACTCTTGAGATTTTAAAAGTTTATCTGAATTCCTCATTCCCAAATGTCCTGGCTAATCCTGAGCAAGTGTAAGGCTCAGGGGGTAACCAGTGCATCTTGAGGATACTCATGGTGACCAGGCCAGTCTGCTTCCTCATTTACAAAATGAGAAAAGTGGACCACTAGTCTGAGTTCTCATCAGACCCTAACCACTGACAGATCTGCTGTCCCCAGATACAGGTCTAGGAAGAAGGACTGACAGGGCTGGTGAGTTAGAGCTCAGAGCTCCTGGGGCTAGGAGACTCATTCATCAGCTGCTGGAGGTGAAAGGCTGCCTGGTCCAGTTTTGACAATTCCAGGCGGAGGGAGGAAAGCTGTAAGAGGAGAAGGTGAGGATACAGTTCATCCTCCCAGCCCAAGCTCCCTCCAGAACTCAGGTTTCCAGGGTGGCCACCCCAAGCCTCACCCTTCGCTGCCTCTGGGTCTCTGCCTCCCCTTCTGATGGGGTCCGGGCCATGAGGCCATCAAACTGCTTTTGCAACTTGTGCCTTCGGGCAGCTAGCAGAGGTAACTGGGTCTGGGGGTCCACCAGGCCCTGGGGAAGAACAGGGAAAAAAGGCTGAGACATCTGCAGCTTGCCCAGGCCTCCACCTTCTCCACCTCTTCCTCAGTTGTTCCCTTCCACCCAGCATTCTCCTCAATCCCTCCAGGCCCCTCTGATCACCTGAAGCTCCATGTAGACCTGGATGGTGTCACTGAGTGAGGCCTGGGCCCAGCCAGAGGGAGCTGCTGCATCTGGTGGTAGGAGACCAACAGCCCCACAATGGCCCAGGGTGCCCAGGGGCTCCAGGAAGGCCTGGAAGAGACCCTGCTCCCCTGGCTCCGAGCTCTGCAGCAGCACT